ACAATTTGTCGTGCAAAACTCTAAAAAATTGGTGTGCGGGATTTTTTTGGTTGCGCAAAACTCTAAAAATTTGAGGGGGCACCAAAAATTGGAATTTTTTTTAATTATTTTTTTAAAAGACTTTGCGCGACTAATATAATAATTCGTCACGCAAAGTATACTCTAAAAATTCGGGCGGGTACCAAAAACAAGACGCGGGATATTTTTGGTCGCACAAAACTTTGCAAGACCAATAATTCGTCGCGCAAAACTCTAAAAATTCGGGCGGGTATCAAAAATAGGAATTTTTTTAATAAAAAAATTTAATACTTTGCGCAACCAATATAATGTTTCGTCGCGCAAAGTATACTCTAAAAATTTGGCGGGTACCAAAAATGAGAACTTTTCTTTAAATTTTTTTAAAGACTTTGCACGACCAATATATAAGATTTCGTCGCGCAAAGTATACTCTAAAAATTTGGGCGGGTACCAAAAATGCGACGTGAGAATATTTTCGTCGCGCAAAACGTTGAGCGACCAACAATTCGTCACGCAAAACCCTAAAAATTTGGGCGGGCACAAAAATGGGAATTTTTTTAAGACTTTGTGCGACCAATATAATTCATCGTCGCGCAAAGTGATACGATTTTTTAAACCAAAATAACTCCACCATTTTCTCAATGTCTTCTACTCTTACCTCTCCTCTCTCTTGCCCTCTCCCCAAATCCGACCATTTCTCTCACACTCACTCCTCTCACTTAATCTCTCATCTCTCTCCACTACCTGACTCTCACTTACTCTCTCATCTCTCTTTTCTCTATCTCTCACTCTCACTCACACTCTCATCTCTCTCTCACTATCTTCTCTAATTCTCTCACACTCACTTCTCCCTCTCATTCTCACTCACTCAAAATCTTGGCAAAAGGTATATTCTCTCCAAATTTTAAATTTTTTTCATTAATATATGTTTTTGGAGTTTGTTTTGAGTTTGTGCCGGGTTTGGGGTTGAGTATAGGGTGAGGATTGGAGTTTGGGTTTGGTTTGGGGTATAACAATTTTAGGGGAGATTATGCCAATTTTTTGTTATTATTTTATGTTATTTGACCATATTTGTTTTTTTGTAAGGAATCGTTGAGACTTTGATGGCTAAAGTTGAGGATTAGGACGCTATCGAAACATATCCTCCGCCTCTACCGCCACAATAGGCTTGTATTAGGATTTTATTATTGTACTTTGTTAATTTGTGTACATTTTGAATATTATATATATTGGATAATTTGACCACTATTTTTCATATGTAATTTTATTTTGAATATGTCAATTTAAATTAAAGTAATTAAAAAAAATAAAATCATATAATTAAATTTAAAAAGTAAAAATTCGAAAAAGTTAATATAATTAAATTGATATAAGAGAAATAATAAAACAAAATGTCAAAACCTTGCGCGACAAAATATTTCGTCGCGCAAACTATTAAATTAGTTAATTATAATTAAGAAAAAGTTAATATAATTAAATTGATATAAGAGTAATAATAAAACAAAATGTCAAAACCTTGCGCGACAATATTTCGTCGCGCAAACTATTAAATTAGTTAATTATAATTAAAATATTTAAAAACAAAAATTAAAAAAATTAAAAAAACAAAATGTCAAAAACTTATACTTTGCGCGACGTTATCGTTCGTCGCGCAAAGTATAAGTTTCATCGCGCAAAGTAGTTATGATTCGTCGCGCAAAGTAGTTAAGGTTCGTCTCTTGAAGTAGCTTTGAGCGACGTTAGGATTCGTCGCGCAAAGTAGTTAAGATTCATTGCGCAAAGTATCTCTGCGCGACGAAGAATTGTTTTCGTCGCGCAAACCTTCTTCACGAGCTTTGCGCCACAGATCTTGCACGACCAATATTTTGTCGCGCAAAGTTTGCACGACGAAATTGTATTTTGCGCAACAAACTTATTTCGTCGCGCAAAGTGTTTTTTGTAGTAGTGATTGGGGTCGCCAACCACACCAACAACAGAATCAGGAACACTTGTGGATTTAAGCAAATAATCAGACGACCCCCATCTGATGGCTTCCAGAGCATGTGGAAGTTCTGAGCCCATCAATTGTCCGAATTCTAGAACACTCCAGGACAACATTGTTGTTGTGAAGGCCATGGGAAAGTTGAACTTCACATTGTCCCCGGCATCATAGTAACCTCCTACAAGATCCATCTGAGAGGGTGGAACAAGAGCATGTCATGCATTTAGGTCCATGTTGGCTAAATTAGGGTTTGAACATGTGTGGAGAAACTTTGTATTTAATATATTATTAATGAGTAATTTTGTATATGATTTGAAAGTAATCGGTTCCTGTAATTTTTAGGTGTAACCAGTTGTATACAATTATATGTCTATCTCTCTCGTGACATGGTTAGTCAAGTGATGAGAGATATAGAGACATGGTTATATACAACAGTAGATAGGGAAGTTTTTCTCAACAGTGTTCTTAAGAGAGAGACCGAGAGTGAGAGAGAGGAACTTACACCAACATCAGAGCCATCCTTTAGACCAGAATCTTTCCTCCAAGTAATTCGTTGTGAAGATGGTAACTTGCCTGACCTTTGGCCTTCAAAGAACATAAGGCACTTTGACAAAGCATCAGCGTAATTATGCGAACCAGAGTTTTGTGCTGCGGCCATTGTCAACATCCAAGATAATATTAACACCCTTGAAAGGTAATTAAGTACGCATAATTTTACTCATATTTTCTTTTCTTCACAACCCACTTTTACGTATCAAAATTGGAGAGTATTTCTAGCACTGGAGTATCAAGAAGAAAGCTAGGAACTTAGATATATTCTATACCCCTTGAAAAATTTGGAGAACAGCCCACTGATTCGATCAAAAGCTCAGTAAGCAGCTGTTTATATACCATGGATCCCTAATTCAACAAGGAAATTTTATTAGAAAAAAGGAAATACAATTTACGAAAGGAAACCAGGAAAAATCTTCCTATATGCTCATATGGAAACTTATTTTGGGAAAGTATTGTCCAAAAGGGACACGAAGAAACGCACTGTTATAGAAATTCAAATCCTGTACAATTTTTTTGTTGTTGCCAAAATGTACAATTAATTCATCTTCAATAGTTTCTTCTTAACTTATTTTGTTATGATTTATTCTAGCTTCTTGTGATTGTCAACCTTTTTTCTCTTGAGAAACCTGATAGTACGAGGGAAATTTTATTAACCAACAATAGGAAAACAGGAGCTTAAAACTTGACCCTGATTACACTATTTTAGTCAATCAACCCAAGTATATACAAGTAACTTCTTTCTTTCCATTTATGTTGCAAGGTTGCATAAATTGGACAAACCGGTCCAGTTACTGTCCAACAGTGACATGAAATAACTCTTATGTCACTCACTGAGAGTTACATTGAACAACTCTTGGGTCCAGGTCTGACAGTGACATAAGAGTTATTTCATGTCACTGTTCGATTGGTTTGTTCAATTTTGGAGGGGCTCGACCATTTTATCTCGTGTGAATGACTTTTGTATCAATTTCTTATAAATAAAAAACTGAAAAATGATGCGGGTGGAGTGGAGTGGGGAGTAACTTCCTCTATATAATTACTTGAGTGGAATTTATTTTTTATTTTATGATTGAGTACATTAATATTTACCATTTCACCCCTATTATATTAATTTACAATCCTTTAGCACTTTGGTTTATCAAATATATTTTTTAGATTTTTAAATATTTTATCATTCTCTACATTTTACGCTATATATATAAACCAGTATCTATTGAAATCATAACTTGGTCCCAATATTTAATAAGTTTCTGTTTCTTGAAAAGATTGACATCGTTAAATTACACTACAAGAAAAAAGGTCAGTAGTGACCAATTTCCTTGTGACCACATGAATAATGATCACAAATATTGTGAATTTAATGACTAATAATAATACATGGTCACTAAAATAATTTACCCCTATTTTTTAATTTTTAATGACCAAATTTTCTGACCATTATTTAAATTAGTCACTGAAAACAACTTAAGTTATATAGTTAGTGACGAACGCATATACCAAGATAGCCTTACTTCTCTCATTTAATACATCAGTGGCCAATTAACTTTTTTTAAAATTTTTTTATTTTTATTTTTTCAAAACGCGCTCGCGTGGGGTGTACCGCATCAAAAGGAAAACAAAAAAGACGAAACAAGTCGAGCGAAATCCGAACGAGACCAGCGCGAGCTCAGAGTGAGAGAGACGCGAGCGAGAGACCAGCGCGAGCGAGACCATCTTCTTCATCGAGCGAGCGTCCTCTTTGTGGTCCTTTTCATCTCTGTGGTTTCGATTTCTAGGTTTTCTCCCAATATCATGTGAGCTTTCTATTTCTCTTTGGTTTCAATGTAAGTTTTGATTTCATTTGAGTTTGATTTGAGTGCGATTGTGACTCTGATTCTGATTCTCTATTCTCTATTCCCTAATTCCCTAATTCTCTATTCACTGTGATTTTGAGTTCCACTGTGATATCAATTTTCCTAACTATGATTTTGATTTCTCTTTGAATTTCGATTCTGAGGTGTGTTTCCAAAAAGCTTGATGCCCTAACTTCCTAATCTGTGTTGCAGAAGTTTTGATTTTGAGAAACGACCTTGAGGCTAGTGAGATCTTTTCTGAAATCAACTTTTGAGACTATCAGCTTCTCTGGTAAGAAATCTTCGATCTCTAGCTATTTGATTCCTAATTGGTTTTCATCTTCGTTCTTGCTTTTTCTTTACTCTTATTCCTATTGCTTTTTCTTTATCTTCATAAGTGAGTACAAACTCAGAGGATCCATCCAGAAGCTTAGAGGGTTTTGTTGTTTGTTCCTTGTCTCCACCTGATATGAGCAGAAAGCCATAGTCATTTATATAGTTAGTGACGAACACATATGCCAAGATAGACGTACTTCTCTCATTTAATACATCAGCGACCAATTAACTTTTTTTAAAACTTTTTTATTTTTATTTTTTCAAAACGCGCTCGCGTGGGGTGTACCGCATCAAAAGGAAAACAAAAAAGACGAAACAAGTCGAGCGAAATCCGAACGAGACCAGCGCGAGCTCAGAGTGAGAGAGACGCGAGCGAGAGACCAGCGCGAGCGAGACCATCTTCTTCATCGAGCGAGCGTCCTCTTTGTGGTCCTTTTCGTCTCTGTGGTTTCGATTTCTAGGTTTTCTCCCAATATCATGTGAGCTTTCTATTTCTCTTTGGTTTCAATGTAAGTTTTGATTTCATTTGAGTTTGATTTGAGTGCGATTGTGACTCTGATTCTGATTCTCTATTCTCTATTCCCTAATTCCCTAATTCTCTATTCACTGTGATTTTGAGTTCCACTGTGATATCAATTTTCCTAACTATGATTTTGATTTCTCTTTGAATTTCGATTCTGAGGTGTGTTTCCAAAAAGCTTGATGCCCTAACTTCCTAATCTATGTTGCAGAAGTTTTGATTTTGAGAAACGACCTTGAGGCTAGTGAGATCTTTTCTGAAATCAACTTTTGAGACCATCAGCTTCTCTGGTAAGAAATCTTCGATCTCTAGCTATTTGATTCCTAATTGGTTTTCATCTTCGTTCTTGCTTTTTCTTTACTCTTATTCCTATTGTTTTGTGTTCTACTTGATTGTAATCTGAAATGCTATTGGGGTTTGTAGATTTTAAATGCATACCAAGTCCATTAGCCTCAAAGGTCCTCATGATATGAAGCCTTTTCACTGAGCTGATGAACATCCTATATACCATAGAAATAGTGCCTAACTTCCTAATCTATGTTGCAGAAGTTTTGATTTTGAGAAACGACCTTGAGGCTAGTGAGATCTTTTCTGAAATCAACTTTTGAGACCATCAGCTTCTCTGGTAAGAAATCTTCGATCTCTAGCTATTTGATTCCTAATTGGTTTTCATCTTCGTTCTTGCTTTTTCTTTCCTACAAGCATCCAATCTCCTTCTTTATCTTCATAAGTGAGTACAAACTCAGAGGATCCATCCAGAAGCTTAGAGGGTTTGGTTGTTTGTTCCTTGTCTCCACCTGATATGAGCAGAAAGCCATAGTCATACAATGGTAGTAACATCACATACACAATGCATCAAAAATGACCAATTGATGATCATAAAATGAACCAAAACAAAGAGCCTCCATTCTTTTGAGTTAAAGTCCTCGTTTCGATTGTGCCTATAGGAATTAATAAAGCTTAGAAATTTGTGTTGTATGAAATTTTGTGAAGGATGGTTTTCTCTGTGTGAGCTATTTTAAGAAAATTCTGTTCAGTTACTATTGTAGCTGCAGAAGTAATCTTACTCGAGGAAGGAAACTAAAATGAAAATCTGCATTTTTGCAGGTGGATAGAAGTGATGGCTCCTATTTTCTCGAGAGCTGCCTGGCGCTGTGTATGGCATATGATCCAAGTTTGTTATTTCTACTGTCCTGAAACTTCAAGATAGCTTTTCTATTGGCCTTAGAACATAAAGCACAACAAATTAGCCGAACTAATATGAATCTCATATTTTAGTCAGGTGTATGGTGTTAAGTTGTCAATGTAATTGATCAGAAATTTTTTAAGTTGTTAGAAGATATACCTAATACTCTGTAAATCAAGCTTGATTCATCACACATTCACTCTCCCTTTCATGTATAGGATCACAGAAACAACAAATCTAAATTACATTGAAATGGTGTTAATTGTGATTTGATCTTTGCAGAATGACTTGATTCATGCATGGGGTGGATATGCAGCTTGGCTATTGTGCACAGGCAAGCTTCTCAGTTTACTTGTTATGTCATTTTTTTTATGCTTTCTTTTCTAAGGATTTCCTTAACGCTTCCTAAAGAGGACTTTCTGGTTTTGATATTTAAATAGGGCGATCGAACTAAAAATGTTGGTGTTGTGGATGTTGAGTACATAATCCATTATGGTCGCCCTACATTGGGAGGCTCAGATGAAAATGAGGTGAGAAAATGTTTGCTATCTTTGTGGTGCAAATTCCCAGTTGAGTACATAATCCATTATGGTCGCCCTACATTGGGAGGCTCAGATGAAAATGAGGTGAGAAAATGTTTGCTGTCTTTGTGGTGCAAATTTCCAGTCTGTTTGAGGCTGACTAGTTAATGTGTTATTAGTATTTTGCAGGACCAGAGTTGATGTAAGTCTTGACATGTAATTTGTTCAGTTTATTAGGATTTTACTTGGATTAAAATTGTTTGTTGTGTATTTGTGTGTAGGTGAGGAGAGAATCGTACAACAAAATGAAGGTGTTCAAAA